CGAGTATCAAATATCGAGTATAGAGTATTGAATTACGAATGACGAGTATCGAATGACGAATAACGAATGACGAGTATCGAATATCGAGTATAGAGTATTGAATTACGAATGACGAGTGTCGAATGACGAATTACGGGTATCGAGTATCGAATTACGAATGACGAGTGACGAGTATCGAATTACGAATGACGAGTATCGAGTATCGAATTACGAGAGACGAATATCAAATATCGAGTATAGAGTATTGAATGACGAATGACGAATGACGAGTATCGAGTATCGAATGACAAATGACGAGTATCGAGTGTCGAATTACGGGTATCGAGTATCGAATTACGAATGACGAGTGACGAGTATCGAGCATCGAATGAGGAATGACGAGTATCGATTATCGAATGACGAATAACGAGTATCGAGTAACGAATGACGAGTATCGAATATCGAGTATAGAGTATTGAATTACGAATGACGAGTGTCGAATGACGAATGACGAGTATCGAGTATCGAGTATCGAATGATAAATGACGAGTATCGAGTGTCGAATTACGGGTATCGAGTATCGAATTACGAATGACGAGTGACGAGTATCGAGTATCGAATTACGAATGACGAGTATCGAGTAACGAGTGACGAGAATCGAGTATCGCGTCACTCGGGTACATCGATAACAATGATGGTATACAATAATCTACGAAAGGAGCGGAATTTCAAATCCTACACGAGGTTTACGGCTCGTCAGTCAGCACAGTGACTGTGGTGGTCCTTTTTAGAGGCGGGCGGCGCTCAAACGCGACCGGCTTGTAATCTCGAGAGGAGACAAGCCGCGCGATACACGTCCCCATATGACAGCACGTAAGGTTATGAATAATGTGTCGAGAACGGGGGCCTGACGAGCCGCTGACGTCTAAATTTCCGACGATCGCGGACGTCGGCTCTCGTCGTTCAACCGCTTTGAAACGCCAGTGCCGAACGTGTCGTCCGCGTAATCGTTCCTCTGTCCTCACACCCTTTCCCTGAATGGCGACTGTTTCTCCTCCTCCATCGAGTTTTTTTCGATCGGGGAACTTCGATCGCGGAAGACAATGGATCCCCCGAGATCATGCTAACGATTACCCGAAGAACGATTCTTTTGTCGTCCAAGTCTCGCGAGCCAATGACGATGCTCTTAAAGGAAGGTCGTAATATGCATCTCGGAGGACATTCGACGCGATTACTACGAGTTACCACGTGGAAGCATCATAGACATCATTGAGTATCTTTTCATCAATCGTTTTAAGCGACAAAGGATTTGTGTCCCCTCTATTATTTACATTATATAATAATTATATTATTATTATTATAAACTATCAGGCGTCGATTTCTATGAAACATTACACAAACGTTCCGTTCATTCAACCTAAGAATTATGTCAATTTTTATAACAATCTTAAAAATAAGAAGTTTTTTATTTTGAAGTGGAAGCTACCCCCTATGACAGAGCCGTTCATTGTATTTCTGCTTATATGACTCGTGAGGTGTAAAAGATATTAAAAAACTGTGTCGACCCAAACTTGTACTAAATTTTTTTTTTTCTTAAATTGAATATAAATCTTTATAGACTTTGAAGAAAGTACTACCTGCTTTTGTTTTAGACATTTTTTTTGTAATTTAAGGGTTGTATAGACGCAAATGAAATGTGATCGTAAGTTCAATTACGGTTGCCAATGTATTCAAATTTTTTAAAAATTTTGAAAATATTCAGGTATCTCTTAATCTGGTATTCCAAGAATATATTGCAATGATAAAATTAGTGAAATTGTTTGTTGCTTTTCTATGTAAACAAATCTATCAATGAACATTTGTGCAAAGTTTCAACAGAATTTTTGTCTGACAGTTTTTTAATTAATTTATAAATATTTCTGTCACTAAATTTGAATTTCCACTATGATAGAATATATGTGTTACGAATGTTTTGGTAATCTCGATGGTGTAAATATGGACATTTTGCTATTTTCGAGTTAAAAAAATTTCCATTCGTTTCAAATTTGGCTGCAAGACGTACACGTTGTTCTGATAGGTGTGATTAGAGGCAATACTTTGAGTATAGAAAGTAAATGTGTCATAAATCCAGGTTTCAAAAAACCACTTTAAAACAAATAATAAATTTCAATTGCGTGAAATTAGCGTCATCTTACAAATAACACTGAAATATTTTTCTCTTGAAAAATTTTCAGAAATGATTCTGAACGAAGTAAAAAATTGATAGACAATTTTAAATATCATTCGTTGTATAATATTATCACTTATAAATAACACTAAATAAATTAGTGAATTCGACAATTACACTAGTTTTAAATATCATGCTTCATATTTCCTAGTCAATGTTTGATTGAAATTAGTCGCTATAATAAAAGTTTCTTGCAACGCATCGAGAGGAATACCGTCGCAACACTTCTACAATCACTATAGAATTCACATAACTTCACCGACGAAGAAACACAGTCAGACATGTATTGCAATAAGTTACGTACAATACAAATAAATTTTATTGCAATCCAACTTTTAAAATTTTATCAAAAACCTAAAATTCTAGTTTTCATCGAAAGTCAAACGAAGGTAATAAATTAATCTAAGAGTGTTTATTCGACAAGTATCTTTAATACACCGATTGGAAAGACTTTTCACTAGATGTTCATAATAAAAGTCATTTTTTCGTGTATCTTTCCATGCATTTCTTGATTCTTAAAGACTGTTGTCAAAATTCTGAACACGTCTTGTACGGGTTACGCTTAATATAATTCTTGGAGGAGCTCTAAAAGCATCGAAATTTTTCGATTCCACCACGAGATCAACGAAAAACCGCTGTTGGTCCCACTTTATACTCGAGGAGCGTTTATAAACACTTTGTTCGCTCATACCATCCGATCGGACTGGCTGGTAGAGAATTAAGTAAGAAATGGTCGGTCCCGGTTAGATCCCCAAAGATTCTTATCAACATAGAACTGCTCAGGTGCCAGTGATTCTCAAACATTCGAGTATCCAGTTAATTCATTTCACGATTCTATTAAAACGACAATTTTCTCGAATTACAATGTATTGTGTAGGTAAAAACCAACCCCATTTTGTATAGATAGTTTTACTGTTTCCAGTGTCAACAAATTTTTCGAAATTTACATATCGTCCAGAGATAATAAAGCGAATTAATTTAGGGAACATTTTGGAAATACATAAAATTCTGACAAAATCTAGAATGAACCAAAATGGTCAAAATTAGTAACAATTTTATTACTATTCTTTTATCACTGATGGATGTAAATTATCTGCTTATGGGAATAATCAAAATTCTGACAAAATCCAGAGTGAATCAAAATGATAGGAATTAGTAAAAATTCTACTACTCTTTTACCACTAATGAATGTAGATTATCTAATTTCGAAAATGTCAGTGACAATTTTACCTTGTTTGTTTATAATTAAATTTTAATGTAAAATAGAAAAGAACATTTAATTCATTGAAATGCATCTAACCAAACTTATCTAACAAATTATTGGGATTCTGTGTACCAAATCTGAAATTTACTGTCATCCTATTGTTAAATTAATCTTGTTGCGTTCTTGTACCAACTTTTGGATTTAAACTACTCTCGTATCGTCTTTAGGGTTAACCTATGATATATAAATGCTTTTTTTTAAGTCTAAGGAATAAGTAAATTTCTGTCAACCTGAGACTAAGATGTTTTCGTACCAATACCTATGTCTGAAGTAATTTGGTAGCAGATATTCTTGCGTCACTTCTAGATTTAATCTACATTTTCCTATTTGTCCTAATGTACATTGTAGCATCAATGTTTGAGAAATAAATTCTGTTTGAGGATGGATTAATGAACTATTAATATCCTTGAATAAACTGTGTCATAAACTGTCGAAATCCAGATGCAAATTTCACAAAACTACGCATCACTAGTCGACGAAAACTAAGTCAACTTTTGTCAACCTAAGATTACGATATTTTCGTGGTGTTTCCATACTAACCCCTATGTTTCAGGTAGTTTGGTAACAGATATTCTTATATCATTTCTGGATTTAATCTACGATACTTTATTTCTTCTCAAGTAGGCTCGTGATATATGTTACATTGTCAGAGAAATAAATACAGTTAGAAGTGGGTTAAGGAGCTATGAATACTCTCAAATAAACCATGCCACGAACCATCAGAAGTTTGAATTTCATTCTATTCAGAAGAGCTACTATACTAAGTCAACTCCAGTCAACTTAAGATTAAGATATTCTCCAGGTCTATTCATACTGACTCCTATGTTTGAAATAGTTTAGTTTCAGGTATCCTTACATCATCTTTAGATTCAATCGACAACATTCTATTTCTTCTCAAGTTGAGTTGCGATATATGTTACGTTGTAGCATCAATGCCAAAGGAATAAATATAGTTTTAAGTGGGTTAATGAGTTATGAACACCCTCGAATAAACTCTCCCACAAACTATCAGAATCCCAGATCCAAACTCCATAAAACCACACAACACTAACCACTCAAAAATAAGTCAGCTCCAGTCGCCCTAAACTTAAGGTAGTCCCCAGGTGTTTCCATACTAACCACTATGTTTCAACTATTTTGGTACCTGAGAGAACACTATTTCTCCTAATGTTACATTATATCATCAACGTCAAAGAAATAAATACAGTCTGAAGCGAGTTAATGAGTCATGAATACCCTGACACAAACTATCGGAATCCTAGATCCAAACTCCATAAAACAACGCAGTACTAGTCGACCAAAGTCAACTCCAGTCACCTTAAGATTAAGGTACTACCCAGGTGTTTCTGTCCCATCCCCCAAGTTTAAACTACTCCGATATCGAATCTCCTCACACCGCGAATCTTAATCCGTGACACTCTCTAGCAACTCCTAGAATTAAACTTTGGTATCCTCGTTTTCTGACGTATTCCTCTCGATGCGTGGACAAGGAACGTAACTGGTCAGTGGGTAAATAATAATTTCACTCACCCTGTCGTACTGATGCGTCGCCGTGGCCGCTGAGAATGATTGGAAAGGCCTGGCCGGGCTGTGGTGGGCAGCATGTGGATTCGCGTGGGGATGGGTGTGCGGGGCCGCATGAGGGTGAGTTGGATGCGGCGGCGGCGGTGGCCTCTGATAGAGGTAAGGATAATATTGATACATCACCTCGGAACAGCTCATCACCCCGCCCGGGCCCGGCACCCCAGAGCCGGCCTGCCGACTTGCGTACCCGAACGTCGCACCACCCGTTCGTACACTATTTTTCGTTTCCACTCTGTCCACTCGCCTCTGTCCACTTTCCCGGTCTCTCCTCGACCCACTGTTCCCGTCGATGGATGGTTCAACCGATCGCTGGATCCGTTGAACTTCCAACAAGCTGCGTCAGGCCGAACCGAGCATCGTCAAAGCCACGTTCGTTTCGCGTCAGTCTTCGACGACGTTAGGCTACCTTTCGTCGCATCCTCGACGTCCCACGTCCTTCGCGGAATCTAAACGAATCTCCACTCCGACGAACACTGACCGTTTTGATACACTTGTCCGTTGACGGTGCTCGTTGGGTTCACTAAGGATCACGTTTAACACTAACTAGCAACAACGAAGATGACAACGCGATGGATACTTCGAAGACCAACGATAAAGTATTTTGCAACCAGTTCTTCGAAGGTGTTGGGCTCGAACCTCCTCGAAACTCAACGATCTACCGACACACGATCCAAGCAATCCAAGGATCACAAAAACGGGGTTAAACGGTGCGTCACTGTTCCACTCTGAACCTGAAACACCTCTCGTAAAATCACCGAAATCTTGGTTCTCCGTTATCCCCTGAGAAGCATTTCTCGTTTGGGCTTCGCTGCGTATCGGATCCCCCAGCCCCGGGGACACTGTCAAGTTCAAGGACTCGACGCGTCCAGAGAAGCTGATCGGTGTTACCCGTGGAACACCTGGTTTGCAGGGAGGCTACCCTCGCGGCGAGAGACGCAACCGGACCGTATCGTGGCTGGTGATGTGTCTCTGATGGGCGAACACAGACTGAACCCCCCGGCGTCGTGTCACCCTCGCCGCAGACCGGTCCGCCGTCTTTTTCCAACTGGTCGCGTAGCGGCGCTCCGTCTTTTTCGCTTGCCGCGTGTTCTCTCCTTCCTGGCGAGGGTCAGGGCCTGGCCTCCCCCTTTCGTTCACCCCGACCAGAGGGGCTAGCACGAAAGGAACCGCCTCCTGGCAGTTCCGTTACCGGCCAATCACCGCGCGGGAACGCCGCGTCCAATGAGGCGACGTTTGCCACTCCTACGCCCACGTCGTCTCTGTATTGATCCCACAATGAACCCGACTACCGTCGCGGTATTAAGAAGTTCCTACTCGGGTTAAAACATCCCCCTTCCTCTGACACCTCCTCCTCCTCCTACTCTTGCACGTCCCAGACCACGTCCCGCCGGTGGCTTCGCTTCTGACTCGACCAGCTACTACGTTCCCATCTCGCGGCTTCTTCTTCGCCTACCGTCTCTCTCTCGCGCTAGGCAGCTCGGTTCGCCACCCTTTCGACGCTTCCAACCCCAAACCCGGACGGTCGGGAACTAGCCCGCGCGCATAATGAGTCTTAATTAACAGTTTCGCGGTGTTTTGGGAAGCTTAATTTGCCACGCCTCGAGAGAGCTTAGAAAGAGAGACGGACGGCCGACCTCCCGCGGGGAATTTTCTTGCGTCGGACGGGAAAATCTGGCTCGAGCAGCCGCCTTTCGCGAACAATCGAGCCCCGTGACTGATCTCGACCGGTCCCGGAACGAAGAATCAAAGTTATATACGTCGAACGGTTCCGTGGTTTTGGGACCACTATGCTTTGGGGGTAAACAAGGAGCGAAAATGGCGGAAATGGTTGTTCAAACTGATAGGCAAATTCGTTTCTGTAATATGTAATGAAACAATTTTGAATGATGTAAGGCTACTCTAGGAAAGAACACGTGGTAAACGTAACAGTTGAGTGCCTTGTTTCTTATAAAATGAATGTTTGAAAGGCAGCCATTTCTGCATTGTCTGATTTGAATAAGCGCTTTCTTTTAATTCTAATAGTTTCTAAGGATGTTATTTATGCATTTATTGAAAATTTAAAAATATAAGAAATACCTTCATGTAAGATACGAATAATTATATTTAGGGATCGAGACGGCCATCTACAAAGCTCCCATTTAGTTAATTCTATTGATAAAAATATGAATTTGCATAAAGATACGCAGTCTAGGTATTACTTTGCAAACTCTAATCTTTTAAAAACTGGAGAAAATGTTTACTATCTTCTCGACTTCTTTATTTATCTAGTATTGTGTCTACCCACCTTTAGGGTAGAATGAAAAAATGAACATAAAATCCAAAATACAGTTTCTCCATATTTTTCTTTCAAGTCAGAGTAACTTTACAAAGACAAAATTTAAACATTCTCTTTGAAGCGTGAAGCTTCGAGAAGCATAAATTGTTCTATTTAAGTAATAGCGTTCTGTTATGTTCAATATATGTATATTAAAACTAATTTATTAACTCATCTAATGCAAAAAAAAATGAGAGTTTCTTTCATGAATTTGTAGCGGCCATTGTATAGCCACTACGCCCTTGCCAGAGTATGAATGGGAATGGAATGTAAGGATAGTTTTAAGCTTTCTATTTTTCCATTTTCCCAGGGTCTCGTGCGAGCCTGGTCGTCCTGTTAAATACTTGGCGACCAGAGCCGTGCGAGGCGTCTGTTTTCCCTCAAGGTTTCGCCTGGGCCTCGGACCACCCTGATCCGGGCCCGGCGAGCCTCTTGACTTTTATGACTCGCTTTCGCTAAACTTTTCCTATACTGAGTATTTTCCAGTTTCGTTTTTCCGTCTTTCTGTCCTGTCTCTTTTTCTCTACCTTTGCTATTAGGGTAAGAAATTGTATATATTCAGGGGACGTGAGAAGAAAGACCCCCAGTCTATTTTAGACCTCAGTCTGGCTAAGACGTCGCGCGTTTGCGAAGCCAGTTATAGTGTCGATTTTACCTACGTGTGGCTACACCCCCGACACCCGCGGAAATAAACTCTTTAATAATTGTTGGGGTAGATTGAGGTTTGTCACTGGAACCTCCAGCCCCCTCAATTAATTGGTGACCCCGACGTGATCAACGTTGTAAAAACAATTGTAGTGTACGCGGGTGACGCGCAAATAGACGCTTGTTTAGTGATTAAGTGTAGTGTAGCCATAGGTTAAGTTTTTTGTGAACTATAGACATTTTTTAATTTATTGGACACGATTAGTGACAATGTCTCGCGACACCGGTAGTGCATCGGTGTGTGTTCCGTCGGCCGTCGGCACGGGTAGTGTAACCTCCGCCATGGAGGCTATCATAGATTCTATGATGGCCCAGTATGCCTTGTCGATCAGACAAGAGCTCGCCGCGATGCGGCAAGGGTTAAGGAGCGAGGGACGATACTCGGGTCACGAGAGGAACCGTCCGCCACCCCCGGAGCATCAACAGCCGCACCAACGCCCCAGTTCTCGGCGTCGTACCGAGGTAAGACAGGGGATGTGCTTTTACCACTGGCGGTGGGGGAATAAGGCCCATCGTTGCATCCCGCCTTGCACCTGGAATGGCGCGCCGGGAAACGACTTGGGCAGTCGTTAATGACGGCGAATGACGCCTGCCCGACGCTACGCCGTCTGTTCGTGACGGACTTTGTGTCGAAAACGCAATTTTTGGTCGACACAGGAGCCGACCTTTGTGTTTTCCCGCGGTCAATGTCTCGCGGTGCCCGGCAGAAATCGTCGTACGTGTTGTTCGCGGCGAACGGGAGTGAGATCTCGACGTACGGGGCCGTCACGCTGACGTTAGATTTAGGTTTACGTCGGGCGTTCACCTGGAGATTTGTTGTGGCCGAGGTTTCCAAACCGATAATCGGCGTGGACTTTTTATATTATTATGGACTTCTTGTAGATATTAGGAACCGTAGATTAATAGACAATGTGACGTCGCTGTCGGTGCCGGGACAGCCGGCAGGTGAAAGTGCGTCGAACATTCCGCGCGTAAAGACAATAACCGGTAGTTCGGTGTACGTGGAGTTGCTGCAGAAATTCCCGGAAATCACCAAACCGATGGGGATTCCGGCTGCAGCGAAGCACTCTACGGTGCATTATATCAAAACAACGGCAGGTCAACCGGTCACCTGCAGGCCACGCCGTTTGGCGCCGGATCGGCTGAAGGCAGCGAGAAGGGAGTTCGACGCGATGCTACAGCTCGGGGTTGCCCGTCCGTCGGAAAGTAGCTGGTCATCCCCGCTGCACGTGGTGCCGAAGAAGGAACCGGGTGAGTGGCGACCGTGTGGTGATTACCGGGCCCTGAACGCGAGGACATTGCCGGACAGGTACCCGGTAAAAAACATTCAGGACTTTGCGCAGTCGCTGCATGGTAAGCGTGTATTCACTACCATAGATTTAGTGCGCGCGTATAATCAAATACCGGTAGCCACCGAAGATGTGCACAAAACGGCCGTGACTACCCCGTTCGGGATGTTCGAGTTTCCGGCCATGCCCTTCGGATTGCGTAACGCGGCACAGACGTTTCAAAGGTTCATCGACGAGGTGCTTCGCGGTTTAGATTTCGCGTACGCGTACATCGATGATATTCTCGTGGCGTCGCAATCCGAGGAGGAGCACGTTGAACATTTAAAAACATTATTTAATAGGCTTAAGGACTACGGCATCGTAGTGAATTCCGGGAAGTGCGCGTTCGGTAAACCGCAGGTACATTTTCTCGGTTACGAAGTGTCGGAAAAGGGTTCGCGACCGCTAGACTATAAGGTGCGCGCGATAGCGGAATATCCGCAACCCGTGACGGTAAAACAATTGCGGCAGTTCCTAGGTATGGTGAACTTTTACCGACGGTTCATACCTAGGGCTGCGCAGGTACAAGCGCCGTTAAATGACCTGCTAAAGGACAATGTAAAGGGTCGAGCGCCTGTTACTTGGACGCCGGTGTCGATAGCCGCGTTCGAGGCCTCGAAACGGGCTTTAGCGGAGGCCGCGTTATTGGCGCACCCGCGTAGCGATGCCCCCCTCGCGCTCACCTGCGACGCGTCCGATTTCTCCGTCGGCGCGGTACTCCAACAGCGTACGGACAGCGGCTGGGAGCCATTGGCGTTCTTCTCCAAGAAGCTGACCGACGCCGAAGGGAAGTATGGAGCATACGACCGGGAACTGCTGGCGATCTACCTGGGCATCAAACACTTCAGGCACATGGTTGAGGGTCGGGTGTTTGCTATTTACACCGACCATAAGCCGATCACGTTTGCGTTTCGGCAAAAGCCTGAGAAGTGTACGCCCAGGCAGTTCCGGTATCTGGACTTCATTGGGCAGTTTTCCACCGACATCCAACATCTGGCCGGTAAGGACAACGTTGTGGCGGACGCCCTGTCCAGGATTGAGGAGGTCAACGGACTCCTCGACTACGATGACCTCGGAAGGGCCCAGGAATCCGACGAGGAGCTTCAACGGTACCTGCGTGGAGAAATCGGGAGCGCGTTACGGTTGAAGCGAGTGGGGGTTCCGGGTACGCACCGTTTGGTGTATTGCGACGTGTCGACCGGGTCGGTAAGACCGTTTTTGACAAAGTCGTTCCGTCGGGCGGCTTTCGACACGTTACATAGACTTGCCCATCCGGGG